ATACGTTAATTATCTGTCAGTGATGTCAATGTTCTTCAGGACGTCAGCAACTGGAATGGGGGTAATAAAAGAGGACATGGGCCAATTAACTGTGACAGACGTCTGGGCTCGACGATCTTTCTTCCTTACCCATGCAAATACCTGGGACGCGAGCGCCTTCATTCATTCATGAGTCAGTTAGTTTAAGACAAAATCCAGAACTCTTGCCATTGCCTCACATGTCTCCATAAGCTAGGGAATATGTTGAACAAACTGGGTTGGATGCAGGCTTATCAAAAATGTATCATATTACGTGGTAAGTGACAGTCGTACAGGCCTGCCAAGAAGAGATCCTTATGTCCTTTTAATTTCTCACTCTGTAAGCTACAGCATAATTTGAAATCTGGCACGTTTGGCTTGAAAGGCCGTGGCAATGGCCCAAAAGCTAAAACTTGAGCAGAACCCATGTTCCTTCCCTTCAGTGAGGCTGCGTACGCGGACTGCAGCCTGTCATTAATAAAAGCTATTTTAGTTTAAAATGGCTGTATTGACATGGAAATGGCTGTTTGGTCTCTAAATAATCAGAGAACAACAACAAAGTGACTAGGCGTAGAGTTACATGATGCAAATTCTAAAAAATGGGTAGAGTTTGGTTAACGGAGCTCAACAGTTAGACAGTCGTTTCTGTCGTTAAACTTCCAACAGTATTACCTGGTCAATAGGCTCTCGAGCTTACTATGCGTAAAAACTGCTTACTGCCAAAAGGTATCATGAGGGTAAGGTTCAAGAAGCAGTTGTAGAATGTTAAAGAAATGTATGCCTGAAAAATCCCCAAAGCTCTTTGATTTTTGAGGTTATAACAGTTTATTTATCGAATTACTACTCAAATCCTGAAAACCGAAAAAGATATCCCCTTTGAAAAAGTAGATAAAAACGGTCTTAAGGGTGAAAAACGGACTACAAAGTGAAAAAATGAATCATTATGCGTAATTGCAGTGTGCATGTTGTAAGTCACATGACCTCGTCCTATCTTATTTCTTGCTGGTATAAGGCATGCAACCATAAGCTTAAAAAAGTTGTCTGTTCACGATTTTAAATCCTTGGATCTAGCCCATCTGTCTTGAATAAGGAAGGAACTACGGGAGTTGCACCCCGTCTCAGAATGCTGGTCCAAAGCCCTACAGACTGCTGCATAACTACAAACATTAAGAAGTAATCCCAAAAGGCACAAGACAAACTGAACTTAGTCATTAACTGCGTAGCGGTCGTCATGAGCCCGACCGCAACCTCAGACGAGACTGACCCCTACCTCAGCGGCAGCGCATTGGTTCAGTGAAAAATAGGGCTGAGTCTGCGGTCTGTTAGATCTGCAGCCAGTGACGAAAGGCCAAAAATCAGAAGAAACTATTCTAGGCGATAACACAGAAATAGGAACTCCCTTCTAACATAGGTGGTATTGCGCTAAGTTTCGGAAAAGAGGAACCTATAACCATGTTCTAACAATGTATTGCGGAGGTTCCTATTCCCGCGTACGACCCATTTTGGATGCCCTTGTATTTTCTCCTCATATAGATCTTCAACAATCTGTCGATTTTGAGTGTCACCGCCTTGTTGATAAGTCGATTACTTACGCACACTGACAATCTAATGTCAGACTTTAGGGCTGCCTGTAAGATCGGATTGGGTGCTGATACTGATACAGCGATCTGTCGTTGACCGCCCAACTGAGGAGTCCCTTCGACGAACAGAAAGTGACTTACAATACAAGGAAACATGCGAATTCCAGGAGGCAGAAGATTTAATCGCTGAGACAACAGTTTTGCTTAATGACCGGCATGCGGACCGTGATCTGCTAAAATTGCATCACGCACGATTGAATTGGAAGTGATGATGTCTCGGCCATCTGGTTCCTCCGATGTAAGCGCAAGATGACGCGGTGGCCTGTGCATTCCCCAAGTGGCCACTTGCTTAGGTCAAATTGAGCCTCAGCACTGAATATGTAGCGGGCAAGTCGTTGCGCTTGTGTATAGACTGGGGGGCCCGTGAACCATGACCCAAGTAATTCTTTGCTCACACGATTATCACCTCTTGCGAGGATGTCGGCCCCATTAAATTTTAATGTGTGGCCGGGTCTTGTCGAATGAGCCGCAACTTCGGAATTGGCATTATTTCGCTGCACCGCTGCCACGTGTTCGGCAATTCGCATCTTGAAAAGTCTGCCAGTTTCTCCGAAGTAGTTGCTTTTTCCGCAACTGCACCAGATCCTGTAGGCGACTCAAGATGCTTCTAGACTGGTGGCCCGTGAACCCTGCCTCAAGTAATTCTCGGCTCATCTGCACGTATCTCCCATTTCTGTTACTATTTTCTGCTCATGTATCTGACTAAGAGTCCGCGAAGCACGCCGAAACGTCAGGCGAATAAAAGTGTTGTCTCAGCGATCGTATCGTCTTCTTCATCTTCTTCTTAGAAATTAACTTAATTTAAGTCAACCTAGTTGTAAAAGTGCACACCTCAGAGCCCATTGAAAAATTGCCAGCCTACATCCCCTCGACCTAATTTAGTAGAATTCATTTCAATTTAAGTTGCTCCACTGGCCAGTCAGTCGCTTGACTCCAACATCGAGGGTAAAGTGTTGCCCTGCCCCGTGCAGCGCAGCGCGTGTAGCGTGAAATATAAAGTGGAAAGGAGGAGCACTTCACGGTCGTGTCGCGTCATCGTTCAGACAGGCTGCGGATTGGCAAGCAAGTCCGACGTCATTTTTCATTAGGCTAAACACGCGCGTGAAAACATGCGCTGTCACGAATACCCCCGACCGTCTTGCGGTTGCGCACAAGGCTGCGGGCAGTTGCTCAACGCAGGCCACAACCGGCAGAACAAAATGTGGTTCAGCACAGGCCATACACGCCAGACGTGATGCCCTCTTTTTTCTTTTTGCGCCCTCGACTACATTTGGTTGCTTTGGCTATGGAAACCGCTATTTATTCTGCACTTTATTCACGGGGGCTTTTTCTTAAAGCTGCATTGATTAGACTATTGCGGCGATGATATGCGGATTTTTTGATAGGCTTTGTTTAACCAAACTACTATAATGAGGTCATCTGGGCAATACGCTAGCACCGTTTTGAAGGAAGATAAATCCGGCGCAACATTTTCCACTTATTCACTGACGGTTTTTCTTGATGTGGAGCGTTGTACTTTTGAGACCTTCCGGGGTTATCTGTATTGTGTACCTCTCTTTGCCCCCGGTGGGTGGTTATTTTTCATTGCTGAAAAGTTTGAAATTATATTTGCAAAATAAAACGGGTCTCGCTCTCTCATGATGGGACTAAATCCAACGAGTTAGTAGGAGAATACGTTGTAAAAGGAAATATTGGAGCCTAAAAGGGCAGACTTTTTGTATAGAGAACTCTGTGAAAAGCAGTTATTGAAATGTGCGTTGGCGACAGAGACGCGTGAAGTTACTGTCCAAAACAAATGCAACGCATTTAGAGAAGGAAGTTTTGGTAGATCGTCGGGTAGATGCTGTCAAAATAATGTGTTTCTACATTGTAAATCAAGGAGGTGGATTTGAGTGACTACCAGTTACCGAGCGATAGTGCACAAGTGGCTACAAGCAGGCATATGTAGGAACCGGAGCACGGAAACGGCTATTGGCTGAGGTCGGAATTGTACGGAATTTTACTAGTGTCGCAAGCACTGGAATTCGGTAGGTGACGACAACACTTATAGATTATGTGGTGTTCACTGAGCTATGGTGGATCAAATAAACGGTAAGACTGCCTCCTCATGGCACGTGTTTATTGAGTACCACAGTCTTCGCGCATTTTTATAAATAGTACGTTAAATGTTTTTGGCAATCCTTGGAAAACGGCTTTCATATTCCGTCAGGCCTAAAACGCGATCATATCAGCGCTCGTTGTCGGGCTAAGAAAGTGAACTGGTACATAGAAGTGAGAAAAAAGTACGAGACGACATTGGTGGATCCACCCTCACGACACATTAGCAAATTTGTTACTTTAATTTATCCCAAAGTACCCAACTTCATGTCTTGGAAGTCTGCCGACTATTGGTGAGATACTTGAGTCCTTCTGAGGACTGGGAATCAGATTGCAATGGCTCCCCTCATTGAGGTCGACCTCGAGCTTCTCCCACCTGGGCGTGTGTGTGTGGCACGTATAGAGGGGCTGTTTCGTTTTGCTAGTCCCTGCGTCTGCACCTAATCCAGATCATGCTGTCACTGCTTTGTCATCGGAGCAGTGGGTGATTAAGAAAAAATTTCTGTAGATAAAACATAAGTCTCATTTACCATAAATTACTTCACGCCCAAGTCATCGCTGCTGTGCTCACTTCGTGGTACACATGGTGTAGGTTAGTGCTGCGACGGTGGAGCTTTCTCGTACACCGGTAAATCAATCCGTATTTTGTTTCCTAATTTAAGCAGGCATTTATTTTGTCAGAAGCTTACCGGGCCTATGATAGCTCTTCACTAATTTGCTGGAACAGATTTTAGAGTACCGCTACTTCGCCTGACCTTGATATGTTCCTCGGATAACATAGGGTGCGTAGCCAGCTGGTGAATTCATATTTCCGTCTTTGCCATAGATTCGGGGAGAACCAATTCTTGTTCTTAGCCTATCCAACTGCCAGTACTAATACTTTACTAACTTAAATAATAAATAATGGTCTCTTTCAACCTTGCCGTGAGTAACAAGTGCTTGTTTTGAAAGGCCCATGATAGTTTGCCGTATTTCTTTACGTGCACCTTTTGGGTGGAGTACGGAAGAGTATGTACGCTTATAACTTGGAAAAGTGGATGAGAGGTAAGATCAAATTAGGAGGATAACTTCTTGCTTATACAGCGCCTTTCTGTCTTTTGGGACTAAAACAAGTAAAAAAGCTCGTGAATGACCCCTTAAGAATCGTGTTTACGCAAAGTTATCGAGTAGACCAAAACATGGTTATCCCTCTGTTAGTCACGCTGAGTGCTGTATCAACCTGCGTTCCGAAATTAAAATGATGGGTACTAGCAAACATTGCGGCAGCTTACTCCTAGCGGTCTGCAGGTGCCTACCAAAGCTACGTAAGTGTAGCGTAGGATGACAGAGTGCATAATTAGCTTGGCGCCGCCTGCGCTCCAACAAGACCAGGCACTGCGCATATGCATGCAGGGCTAGCGTCAGGTCGGAACGCGAACTTGCACGTGAAAGCATGAGCGTCCGCTGTCTACGCAACAATGGTTAGAGCCCAGTCTGGATTCTACAAGTTTGACAATACTTCACACATGTGGTGCTGGCTTTTTTTCATGTATACAGTTCACCTGCCGGCCTGTGTTCGCGGTTCAGTATCGGCGGACTGTTTTTCGTAGAGCATAGCTAAAACAGGCGCTACTTATTTTCGTTAATTTTTTTGTTACTGAAGACCCCTTTATGATTAAACAAAATGCGTAAGTATGATTTGTATGATGGCCTAAACAGGACATGAAAACACGAACCGCCCACAATACATGTCACCTTGTGCTAACGTCCGGGGAAATTAGGTTTAGGATTACGATAAGGGTAGGGTAGATTTAGGTTGAAGATTGGGATTAGGCTCAGGAATATGTCGAGGGTTATGTTTACTGTAGAGTTTAAGTTTACAGTATCGTTAGGATTAAGATTAAGGTCACAGTTTAGCTTTATGTTAGGGTTAACACACGGGAATATTTGTCCCTCTGCACATATATCGCAAGGCCATCTATTTTATGTCGGCGGGGCGTTCCTATTTCAGTGTCCTTTCTGGACGGCAATACAAGTCATCCTTACCAAAAAATGGTATTCTAATTTTTTCATACTATTATTAAATTTGCCTGCTTGAAGATAGGGGTGATCTTATTAGTTGGCGGCCTGTTAACATCAACAATTGTGGCGATAAGCTACTTATTTTTAAAGGTGGTTGTAAGATAGCCTTTAAATAACGTAGGAGTGTTTCCGAATTGGTTTTTAATGTCTATTCGGTATTTGGCAGATAGGAACGTTTTTACAGAGGGTTCAAATATTCTCGAATTTCAGCTATTTGCGGGTAGCTGATCCTCGCATTCATTTGATCAATTAGCCGAACACTCCAGGATGACGAGAAGTTAACCCTCGAAAAGGACGATCACCACTATGTGTCCCACAGAGCCGCTTCCCCTGCTCCCTTACCAACCTTGCTTCCATGGTAAGAGAGGCTAAAGACAACCAGAATGAGCGTGTTAAGCAAAGGTGAATAGCCTACCTACGCGTGCGCTACACAACTCAGTTCCAGCTGCAATCACTGGGGCGACTCGAAGGGGAGGGGCCACATGAACAATGACCCATCATAGTCTGAATCCTAATCCTGGGAAGCACTGAGTTACTTCGTCAGTTGACTGTTTCTTAAGGCGTGTGCGAGAGAGTCAAGCATGCCCAATTTGTTGATGGTAAGGAATGAGCTGACGAGGACGAGTTTCCCGCTGTTTTACTCACTGGATCTTTCTTCTTCAATGCCCCCGTCGACTGTATGAGGCTGTGAACCAACAGAAAGTGGGATTGGGTGTATAAGCTAACTCTACCTACTACTAATCCATGCCAAACACATGTACGGCGACGATTATCGGCCCTCATCAGCACACCACTGCCGGATAGACACGTGTTGAGTGTTACGGTGACTACCATTTTGGCTTACAGCATCTGCAGGGCGAACATTCTAGCACTTAAGGCATGAGCTGCCCTCTGTTGCCGGAACTTCTCATGATCCATCAGGAGTTTAAATTATTCTATCTGTCCGTGTAGCATGTATTGCGGATATCTGACTAACTAATCATCTAAGCCCCTGCTCAGACACCCTACATTTACCGATCTAGTTAGGATGTGTCCAGCCAATGACAGCCAGTAAGCCACTAGTAATCATCACATAGCGACAAGAGAGGAGGAGGACAAAGACTACGGGCGTATTGGCTGGAAACTGTCTCGGATTGCTTACGTCCTCATTCAGCCAATCATAACCCTGCCTATCACCTATGACCAGAAACACAAACGTGAGCACTTAATCTAATCGAAGTTCATAATTACCTATCTAATTGCCATCCTCTGCCGTTACAAATAGAGTAATTACTAAACCAATAATGAACGCACGCTTGCCAAGACAATCAAGCTACGTGTAGGGGACAAAAGTCAAGAAAAGGCAACCAACAACTGGACAGAATTCGACTCGATAGGTATACCATTTGGGTCATGTGTTAGCGCAAGTTTTTGTTTCTTGTTCCAGCTGGTGGTCAAAATTTTGATTGGCTGAATGAAGTCAGAATAAGTCCGAAACAATTATCGTCGATTTACTCGCATACTCTGTCTTCCACCCCCTCTGCTTTTATAACTTAGTCGAATTTGTTTCGGCATTTGGTTGCCTGTTCGTGACATTTGCCACTCATGCGAGTCCGTTGGCTTCTGGAAGTTAATAGACCGGTGGGCCTTCATGTTTATTTGTAATATTTTACTATTTTTTCTATCGTTCCAACCTAACAAGTCGTCATCTGAAAAGAATCCTACCCGCCTTAGTAAACGAAGTCACATTAATCTCTTTTTTCAGTTCACTTAGTCTCGCATTATGTAGCTCTGGCGATAAGCGAAGGATAATTGCTTCTATCAGAGTGTGACCAAGTTCGAGTTGCGCATTTCTGACTTTCGCAATGAATACCCACTGAACACTCCGGGCTCTGTTAACGATGAAGAGTTGGAGCACATTGAATTAAATAAGTCACTAATGATTAATTACTTCAAATACTATGCCGCAAAGAATGATGCAGGGATGGAGAAGAAGAAGACTCGACCGCTGGGACAATATG